AGCAGCCTTGATCAGACTTGGACGGTCAGGCCATGTGGCCCGTGGTGCCCCTTCTTCTGACTCGTCACTCTTGCTGGGTCCCTCCCGGGGCCTGTGTGAACCTGGTTGGCTTGCCATACTGTAATGACCTGGAGTTGCATCACGTCATTTTTGGTTGCACCAGCTGTTCAGTCAAACGCTCCTGAGTTCCGTTAGTTAGTGGACCTGAGATGTGAGAAGAAGCCTTAGGCGCCCTGGCCTGCCAAGGACACAGCCAACCTGAAAGAGAAATGTGGACACAGGGAGAGAGGGTGACAGATCTCTAAGGTTAGGCAGACTTGAGGTTGACTCCCAGCAACTCTGTTACCTGTCCAGGTGACCACGGGGACATCTGTCTCACCAGGCTGCTGTGAGGATTAAGGAGAAAGAGATACGGGCACCGAGCCCGGTGCTCTGAGGCAGCTCTGCATGGCCCTTCTCGGGCACGGGTTCTGCAGCCCAGTCCCGGAGCTGGGGTGCAGGATGTGAGGCTGGGGGCATCAGTTCCTTGCGTAAGAGTTATGGCCCATCCCTGGGAACTGGGTGAGCAGACGAAGGGTGAGCACGGGACCCTGCGCTGTAAGCCAGCACTGCAGACACGGAGGAAAGGGGAGCCACACTTTGCAAAATACGCTTTGGAGGTTGGTGGGTAGAAGCCATTGGATCCTGAAACTTGAATAGCTCGGATGGGTGCGTTTTCCCAGCGCATCTTTTCACAGTAATCGCTGTGGGGACCTAAGCATTGACCACAACACTCTAATTAAGGAAAACCATTCAGGAATAGCAGTGTAAGCTTAGGTGGATAAAAACTAATGTGTAGAAAGGTGTTTATCACTTACTATAAGTACTTTACCCCCCCCCCCCCCAAATGAGCTTAATGCTTGAAGTAAATAAAAGTAGAAACAGGAACTCCATTAATTAGCACATCGATTTAAAGTTAATAATGTTGGAGTGTGTCTTTGCCAAAGGAAATACATATTTACTGACAAGGATGTAACACACACACACACACACACACACACACACACACACAGCATTCCGTATTGTCCAAGCTGAGGGCCATTAGGAGAGTGCTCTGGTTAATCTTAATTGTCATGATGATATGAGGAGCTGTGATCTCCAAGTTATGCAGACCATGTGGGGGAGGTTATTAAGAGCCGTTGTTAGGCCAGGGGACGGAGTGAGAGGGAATGCAGCTAATCAGGCGTCCAGTTGCGCTATTTCCTGTTGTTAGCGCTAGAATGTCTCAGAACACAACGCACCTAATTTCCCCTCTGATACTTCGGCGGCATAATCGATGTATACATGTGTATCCACATGCACGCACATGCGACGCACACACAGAGCCGTGCTCGATGGCCGGAGAGGGAGAGGCCCCGAGGGCCCTGTAGCGTGCAATTAATATTTTGGTTAGAAAATCAGCAGATTGTTTCAGTGTGGCTGTGTGCGATGACATCATATTCCAGTAAAGTTATAATGAACGGAGATTTTGTTTGTCTCTGTGGCAAACCGAAATGAGTTTTGTAATTGTCCGCAGGCCAGAGCGATTACGGTGGCGCCCACTCCCTCTCCTGTAGTTAAAGGTCTGCTCGCATTCCGCCCGCGGCCCTCTGCGTTCAGAAGTGCGTAATTGACTGTAAACGTTCGCTCCGTGGGGAAGGCTGGCCGTGTAAGATCTCGGGAGTCCACTTCTGACTTCAGGTTGTCTGTTTTTAAAAGGCTTGGTCGGTAGTGGAAAACATGCGTCGAGCCTAGCCGGTGTGGCTCAGTGGTTGAGCATCAGCCCGTCCAACCAAGAGGTCCCTGGTTTGATTCCTGGTCAGGGCACATGCCCAGGTTGCAGGCTTGATCCCGCGGTTGAGGCAAGCCGATCTAAGTCTCTCTTTTATCGTCGATGTTTCTGTCTCTCTATCCCTCTCCCTCTCTCTCCCAAATTGATAAAAACGTATTTAAAAAAAACCTTGTGAAGATCTTTAAAATCTTTCTGCTTCTGCCTCACCTGTTCTTAAAACTTTCTAAGTGTTAACTTAGTTAATTTTCCCATTAGTGAAGTGCTCTTATTTAAAACAAAGCATGCATCGAGTTCTGGAGAGGTGGAAAAATGAATTTTGTGGGACACAGAGATCACCTGCATCCATCCTATTAGTCTGTCCAAATCTCTGCACTAAAATAATTTAAAATGAAACAGGTAACAGGAGATTGCACTTTTGTACACTAGCTATTGGAATCAAAGAGGAAAAAAAGTGTGGTTTTTGAGTCTTTGCATGTTTTAAAAAAAATAGTCTGTTACAAGTAATTTTTTTTCTTCCTTTACCTTTTTCATCTTTGCCAATTAAAAATGAGAATGCGTGACACAATAAAACACATTTAAAAATACATTATCTTAAAAGAAATTAATGGGAAAACTGCGGGCCAAGAAAATTGACTCTTAAGAATTTAAAACGGTGACTTGGTCCCTCCTTCTCTGACGCTGGCTTTCTGCACTAATCGCCTCCCTGACCCCGTGGCGTTTCTCTTCTGATGGTGGCCTGCCTTCATCTCCTTCACCATCGTCTACTGTTTCCCCGGCCTTTTGATCACCGGCATGAGTCAGAGCCAGCCGCCAGCTCTCCCGCTCGGCTCCTTTCTGCTTTCTTTTTCCAGGCGCTCATCCACTGCCGCGGTTTCCGTTAGCGCCTGCCTCCCCAGCTGCAGGGCCAGTGCCACCTCCACGCTTGTGTGGAGACCTTTACCTTCAGTCCATCTGCCCACAGAGTCTGACGGGATGGGCCCCGTGCAGTTGACCTCAGGTGGAATAGAGAGCACCGCTCCATGGATGTCCACTCGTCATCTAAAATGATTAGGGCAACGATTGGACTTCTTTTTGCTGGGATACAGACATTTTTCAGCAATGGAGTGGCTTTGCACTTATTTTTTCAGCATTATTAAAACGCACCATTCCATCCAAATCAGTTCTGTGAGTGTTGCTCATTCATTTGACTTGACCTAAGAGTAGCGTTTGACACTCAGCCCCTCGCTCTTCCATCATAGACTTTCCCACTGGGCTTCCAGAAGATAGGACACCCGACCTGCCTGGATTTCCGATCTGGCTTTAAAGTCCACCGATATATTGAAGATTCCCAAATTTCATTCCCGCCTTGGTCCAGACTCAAATCCAACTGTCCATTGGACGTCTCCATGTGGATGTCTAAGAGGCCTAACAACTTCACACCTTCAAACCGGAGCTGCTGTCCGCCCACCAACGATCCCCTTCCTTGACTCCGCTTTCCTATTCGGTAGCCAGTTCTCGGGCAAACCCTGTCTCCCTGCTTTTGAAAGCCACTGTTTCTCGTCACTTCTTCTGCTGTCACGTTCGGTCAGGCCTTGGTCACTTTTCCCGTGTTACTGCGCTAGTTTCCTAATAGATCTCCTGGCTTCTACCATCCTTCCCTATAGTCTGTTCTCTACATAGTAGGTAGATGATCCTTCAAAAATTGAGCCACATCATGTCACTTCGCTGGTGGGGCCATTTCACTCCATGAGTAGAAGTCAAGTCCTTACAGTGATTTCTAAGGACATCCCTAAGCAACCTTGGCCACCTCCTCGTATCTCGTGGATTCCCCCTCCCCACCACACCCCCCGACTCTAAGAAGATGGACATCCTCTGAGTTATTGAATGTGCATGGCATGCTGCTACCTCAGGGCCTTTGCACTTGACATTGTCTGCTTCCACTGCACTGTACCAGGGGATCTGCATGGTTTCCTTCCTCGATCTTTACAGAGTCGTCATCTCAGTGAGGCCCTCCCTGGCCACCCCCTCTAACACCCACCTCCCTGGCACTTCTGAACCGTGGCCTTTTTTACTGTTTAACAGGTGTCTCTAACATGCTACGTTCTGCATATTTACCTTATTTCTTGTCTGCCGCACTTTCATGTGTGTCATTGTCACGTTCCCCGGTCAAGTAATTGCTGCGTTAATCGATTTTATTGCATATCACCTTCATTTTTTTCTTCTTTTTAAAAAAAAAAAAATTTTATTGATTTTTTTACAGAGAAAGGGACAGGGATAGAGAGCTAGAAACATCGATGAGAGAGAAACATCGACCAGCTGCCTCCTGCACACCTCCCACCGGGAATGTGCCTGCAACCAAGGTACATGCCCTTGCCTGGAATCGAACCTGGGACGGTTGAGTCCGCCGACTGACGCTCTATCCACTGAGCCAAACCAGTGTCAGCAAATTTTTTCCTTCTTGATGTCTTCTAGGTTTGTTCCTTCTTCTGACACCCTCTTGTATCGTCTCAAGTCTGCATCACTGCAGCTCTTCCGTAGCTCTTCCCGTCCTCAGGCTCATTCAACTCAAGCCTGCCAAAGTCTTTACCTTAAACACATCTATTATTATACTTTCTACCTACAAATTGGGTTAAACTCCCTATTCTTTTTGATGTTGAATCTGATCTTATTTTCTTGCAAAGTACTCGTTTTCACTTTGGAGGAGTAACGCCACCTCTTGGGCCTCTCATTTCTCACCATAACCATCTGCCAAGGGCACCAGAGTCTGCGTGTTGTCACCGGAATGGCCTTGCTCGTCGCCATCCTCTGGTGGCTCCCCGGTCTTCAGCACCAGACCATTGGCCCATTCTCGTCAAAATCTGACTGAAAACTTGAAGTTAAAATTTGAGCCCTGGCCGGTTTGGTTCAGTGGATGGCGCATTGGCCTGTGGATTGGCGGTCCCAGGTTCGACCAGGGGCACATGCCCGGGTTGCGGGCTCGGTCCCCAGTGTGGGGCATGCAGGAGGCAGCCAGTTAATGATTCTCTTTCATTATTGATGTTTCTCTCTCTCTCTCCCTCTCCCTTCCTCTCTGAAATCAATTAAAAATTTGATTAGGGTTCATAGAGGGCATAGCACATTCTGTGGTTGGTGTCACTTTCAACAAAACAAATCTGATTATAGAACGATTTCTTTTTTAATCGGACTAACCTTCCTATTTTCTTCTCTTTAGGTATCATTGCCCGATGCCTAAGATCTTCTACGTTCAGCTGACTGTAGGAAACAATGAGTTTTTTGGGGAAGGGAAGACTCGGCAAGCTGCTAGACACAACGCCGCCATGAAGGCCCTCCAGGCGCTGCAGAACGAGCCCATTCCCGAAAAGTCCTCTCAGGTGAGCTGTGCTGCAGGGACCGTCTCTCTCCGGGTCCCCGGGAGGTGATCCCAAACACAGATGTGTGCATTTTTAATTTATTTTTTATTTTATATATATATGTTTTATTGATTTTTCTTACAGAGAGGAAGGGAGAGAGATAGAGAGCCAGAAACGTCGATGAGAGAGAAACATCGACCAGCTGCCTCTTGCACACCCCCTACCGGGGATGTACCCGCAACCAATGTACATGCCCTTGATCGGAATCGAACCTGGGACCTTTCAGTCCACAGACTGACGCTCTGCTGCTGAGCCAAACCGGTTTCGGCAGATGTGTGCATTTTCACAGACAGAAGACATAACCTCCTCTGATAGGAAGGAAGGGGAGCGTGGCGATCTCTGTTAATTTGCTTCTCAGATGTATCACCTGTTGCTGTCCTAGACTTGTCCTTGCCAAGATGACCTTGCCTTTGAGAATGTGGGTTTACCAATGGAGTGACCTTCCCAGGCAGCTCAGGATCTTAGAATGTGTACAAGGATGAGAAATAGCATTCACTTACTTTGAGTTTAATGCTACTTTTTTTTTTAATTTTTAAAAAAATATATATTTTATTGATTTTTTACAGAGAGGAAAGGAGAGGGATTGAGAGCTAGAAACATCAATGAGAGAGAAACATCGACCAGCTGCCTCCTGCACAGCCCCCACTGGGGATGTGCCTGCAACCAATGTACATGCCCTTGACCCTTCAGTCCGCAGACCGACGCTCTATCCACTGAGCCAAACCGGTTTTGGCTTAATGCTACACTCATTGTGCATGAATTGTGTTGTGTTGATTTGGAATGGAAGAATTTAAAGTGGAGGAGATCATTATGGATATTTCCAGTCCTACTTAATTTTTACGATTGAGGCTATCGAGGCTTTTGTTGACCCTTTCTCGTGGCTTCAGCTGCCTTCTCTATTGACTTCAGAAGAGTCTCTGCAGCTCAGGCATGTGTGTGAGTCCTCCTCGTACTGAGCTCTCCTCTTGTTATTTCAAACCACACAGGTCCACCTCTCCAGCTCCCCACGCCTGCCGTCCCTCCTCCTGGTGGCTGTTGTGGTTGGTGGCAGTCAGAGGTGTTTTTCTCCCTCACATGTGCGTTAGGACACTTAACCTGTTTCCCCACTTCATCACAGGCCTCCTGACGAAGGATGCCCTCCCTGTATCTCTGCTCCTTACACTACGTCCAGCATATCTGGGGTCCTCCCTCCAGAAGTATGTGCTAAATAAGTAATCGAATTGGTGCCAGGGCCAGACCCAGAGCTCCAGAGTCCTGGTTTGCATCCTTTATTCTTTCTACAGCTTAGTTTTATTGAAGATGCAGTATCTGTTATAACACCAGTGGAGAATCTGTGTGTACGTGTGTGTGCATGTATGTGTGTGTGTGTGTGTGTGTGTATAGAGATTAAAAAAATATATATATATATACATATATATTTATATATAACATATTTTATTGATTTTTTTACAGAGAGGAAGAGAGAGGGATATAGAGTCAGAAACACTGATGAGAGAAACATCGATCAGCTGCCTCCTGCACACCCCCTACTGGGGATGTGCTCGCAGCCAAGGTACATGCCCTTGACCGGAATCGAACCTGGGACCCTTCAGTCTGCAGGCCCATGCTCTCTCCACTGAGCTAGACCGGTTTCAGCTGAAAAAAAAAAGTATATTTTTTATTGATTTTAGAGAAGGGTGAGGGAGAGAGAGTTAGAAACATCAATGATGAGAGAGAATCACTAATCAGCTGCCTCCTGTAAACCCCACACACTGGGGATCAAGCCCGCAACCCAGGCATGTGCCCTTACTGGGAATCGAACCGTGACATCCTGGTTCATAGGTTGATATTCAACCACTGAGCCACGCCGGTCAGGCTGGATAGAGATTTTTAGAGAACTGGATAAACTCAAATTGCTGTATGGTTGAGTGAAAGACTTTCCCGCTGAGCATTTATTCTACTTTGAGGGGGAAAAAATGAAAAGTCAAACAGCACAGAGCCTCAGAGCAGCTCTTGCCTGCTGTGCTTACAGGGACCACAGGACCAGTCTGGGGATTTCTGTTTCCTCCTGTATTTTCTGTTAGATGGCCCTCCTGACTGTAGACTGTGCGCAAAGTGTGTTCCAAAGTGAAGACTCAGTGCCGTCCTGTTTTTTGTGATTTAGAATGGCGAATCCGGAAAAGAAATGGATGATGACAAAGATGCCAATAAATCTGAGATCAGCTTAGTGTTTGAAATTGCTCTGAAGCGAAATATGCCTGTCAGTTTCGAGGTATGTACTCAGTGGAGAGCTTCGCCCCTGCTCCTCACTAACTCAGATAAGCAGCCCATTACGTGATGTCAGCTGGTACCCTCGTGTCCTGAAAGAGTGAGTGTTTCCTTAGCAATGAGGTAGGCCCCGGGAGAGAAGCACTTCCAGAATGTCACCGATTCCTGCACGTGCCTGACCAGGAATCGAACCGGCGACCTCTTGGTTCCTGGGTTGATGCTCAGCTGCTGAGCCACACTGGCGGGGCTCCTGCTCACCTCTCTTGCTTTTCTGTATTGAGCCATCTGTATATATGATATCTCCGTTTCATCGTAAAATTTATTTCCTCATTGTAAGTTAATTTTTGTAGTGCTCTAGAGAGTTTGGTGTTTTTAATAGGATCAAATTGAAAATATCCAAGTTAGTATTTAGTGACACACGTATTAATATCCAGTTTCTTCTGTACTTGCCAAAATATGTTTACATTTTACTAAGCCACTAAGATAAATAGATAAATAGGTCACAGCTGGATATAAATAGGTCACAGAAATATTTATAAAATTGTGTGACATTAAAAATAGGGAAAAATCATTTTCGATATTATAATTCCTTCTATTAATTAAAATTAAGAGGGTACTAATTTTGCAACTCAAATACGTAGGAAATAGGCAAAACCCAGGAAATAAGCTGCCTCAGTCTGGAGTGTCCTCCTTCCCATTGGGGTGACGCTCAACACTGGGAAGCTCCTACATCTAACTCACCAGCAGCATCGACTGCCCTTGACCAAGAACCTGTTTGCTCCCTTCTCAGACACAGTTCCTGCACATGGGGCTGCCTGGTGGCAGCCTGCAGCCGATGGGAAGCGGCATCCTGGGGAAGGCAGGGGCAGAATGCACTGGGGGGCTTACTAGGCCCAGCAAGAAGCGACAGGGACAGATGGAAAACCAATCAAAGTACTTGCAAAGACTTGAAAACTATTGGATTTGGGCCTTCAGATCTACAGTGAACAGGGACAGTTTTATCAGTCTTAGAAGCCCTTGGTGGCATCAATATACGTTACAGAATATTTGATGTTCAAATGGTGACCTCATGCCAGCAATAAAAAGGTTAACTATTTGGTTTTCTCTATTAAGTCAGGACAGCATATAGGTGTTTTTTATTTTTATATTTATTTATTTATTTATTTTAATATATTTTATTGATTTCTTATAGAGAGGAAGGGAGAGGGATAAAGAGTCAGGAACATCGATGAGAGAGAGACATTGACCAGCTGCCTCCTGCCTCCTTCCACTGGGGATGTGCCTGCAACCAAGGTACATGCCCTTGACCGGAATCGAACCCGGGACCCTTCAGTCCACAGGCTGACGCTCCATCCACTGAGCCAAACCGGTTCCGGCTTGTTTATATTTTTTACATTTTATTTTATTGTTGACAATGTTACAGTACAGTTGTCTCCCATTTTCTCCCATTTGGGCCCACTTCGCCAACCTCCACCCACTCCCGCCTTCCCCATGTAATCGTCTGTGTCCATGCATACATGCTCTTTGGTTAATCTCAAGCTGTCTCCTTCCTCCCAACACCCCTCCCCTTTCCCACTGAGATCCGTTATTTTGTTCCATGCATCCATACCTCGGGACCTATTTTGTGTGTGGTTATTTTTTTAAATTCAGGAGGATGGCCAGCCAAGTGGTTAAAATAAGCAGTTTTGGCATTTCAGATAGTAAACTTAAATTACTTGGAAAGCATGCTGATCCTAAGTGTCGTATCCCTAGCATTGTTGAATTACTGAACTATTGTGCTGTTTGCTTTCTTTTCCTCATTGGTAGCCAGAATTAGACAAACTTTTAGCATGCTGTTAAATAGTAAACTGTTTAACTCAGGAGTGTACCTTTCATAGCTTAAAATGTGAAGGAGCACTCAGGTTTGGGGAGGCATCTGTCCTCAAAAGCTGTCTCACTTGAAATGAGCTCATTGGTCCAGGGCTTGGGAGCATTCGCAGCTGACGCATTCACAATCTATAACCCTAGAAAGCAAGGAGCTTTTATGGCATATCGGCTAACCTTCCAAAGGTCATGTCACACAGAGTAAACATTCCTTTCTAAAAACAGCCTTTGCGCGTTATGTCCAAGGTAGGTTGTTTCTGAGCGGCTTCCCCACGCAGGATGCGGGGTGGCTGGTAGAACTCCCTCCAGGAACGTTCTCCTCCAGGGAAAATGCAACACGTACCCGTTACCATGCTCGGTGCCCTGTGTACCTAACATAACGTGATGTGTTTTACGTTCTTAATTTTCTGTTCTGTAAGAAATGAGTAGTCACTGGGAGAAAATAAGAGATGTCTATAATACTATCAACAGTAAAACAAGATTTAAAAAAAATACAAGTTTTTATTGATATCACAGGGGAAGGGAGAAAGAGAGCGAGATAGAAGCATCGGCAATGAGAGAGAATCATTGATCTGCTGCTTCCTGCACGCCCCCTACTGGGTATCGAGCATGCGACCGAGGCATGTGCCCTAACCCAAACTGAACCCTGACCTCCTGGTGCATAGGCCATTGAGCAACCACAAGCTTGGCTAAAATTTTTTTTTTTTTTTTTTTTTAAGAAAAGAAATTGTAAACATAATTAGAATTGCCTGTTTTAAATGGGTAAAAAAATAATTTTGAGTGTGACTTGAATGTGTTTACTTAGATTTCTATTCGCCCAACTGCAGTCTCTTAAGCTTTGTAAATGAATCATTCTTCTATAATACCTTTCTAATAGGTTTATTAAAGAAATGTATAATTTTGGCATCATTCTTCATTTCTATTTTGCTTATGATAGGACCATTAAGAAAGATCCATGCAATAGGGACACATTCTAAGCGTGCCTGCATGTTACTTACTACTGTATTGTACTTTACAGGTTATTAAAGAGAGCGGGCCACCACACATGAAAAGCTTCGTTACGCGGGTGTCCGTGGGAGAGTTCTCTGCGGAAGGAGAGGGGAATAGCAAAAAGCTCTCCAAGAAGCGGGCCGCGACCACCGTCTTACAGGAGCTCAAGAAACTCCCACCTCTTCCTGTGGTTGAAAAGCCAAAACTATTTTTTAAAAAACGCCCTAAAACCATAGTCAAAGTAAGTGTGTGCTTACACGAACATGAGTCAGTTTTACTGTGTAAATATTCCGGTAACTATAGATAAAAGTTTCCCCACAGGGCAGGCGTCACAACCTATGGATTAGAAACAGTCCCAGAATCAGGGCTGGACGTGTGACTGTAAGTCAGTAACAATTCATTTTTTGCTTTTCAGACACTTGCATACATGTGTTTGTTCATCACATAATACCTTACGTATGTACAGGTTTTTTTTTTATGGCTTACAAAGTTCTTTCTTGTTCACGATCACCTTTAGTATAGAATACTTCAGTATGAAACACTTTCCCATCCATGATGACCTTTAGTGTAACTCTCATCATGACGGTGTAAGGTAGAGGATGTTACTCCTAACACATCCAAAGCATTTGTTCACTTTTATTCATCTGTGGGGTAAGCTGAACTGCTCTGATCTCTAACCAGTATTCTTTCTGCACACCACATTGCCATACATAGTTTCTGCTTAGAACACCTGAAATGGTTAAGGATATGGGGGAGGGATGTGAATAATGCTGACCCCGTGACAGGAGCAGCAGCTAGTGAATAGGAAGCACTCTGTGTGCGGGACTTAGTGTTTATTAATAATACAAATAATAGGCACCCAGTAAGTATTACATATTGTTAGTTTGCTTGTTCACATAGTACCTTGGTTTTTAGCGTTTTTGTCGCTTCCTTACATGTCTTATATATCTAGGGTCTACGTTCTTTATACGCAATGGAAGTAGAGAAAATATCTGTGTCTGAGCTGCCTTGATTTTTAAGAAAGATAATGAAACTGTCACATTTTCTCGTTGGATCCTCTCAGTCAATCCATGATGTAGGTGTTACACCAGTTTTACAGACGAGGTCCTTGGTGTTTAAGAAGCTCACCCAAGATTCCGTAGCAGAGTCAGGGTTTGGGTCTAGTCATGTGACTTGTTCTAGGACCATTGGTTGAAAAGACTGTTCTTTATCCACTGAATTGCTTTTGCACGTTTGTGGAAAACCAGTTGACTATATATGTGTGGATCTGTTTCTGGACACTCTGTTTCATTGGTCTCTGTCTGTCTTTATGCTGACTGTACACATACTGTCTTTGTTGCTATAGCTTTGTGGTGAATTTGAAATCAGAGAGTTTGAGTCCTCCAACTTTGTTCTTTTTTTCAGAGTTGTTTTGGTTATTTGTCTTTTCCATTTCCATATGAACTCTAGCATTGGCTTATTAATTGCTACCAAAACAAAAAGCCTGCTGGGATTTCGACTGGGAATGCAATGATTTGAGAGACCAGGTTGAGGAAAATTACCATTTTTAACAATATTGAGTCTTGTGTCCCAGGAGCATGTCTGTCCATTTATTAAAATCTTACTTAATTTCAGCAGTGTTTTGTAGTTTTAGTGAGTTTTACATAAATTACATCATACTATATGTATTCTGTGTTTGGTTTTCTTCCTTAACATATTTTTTCCTCCTGAAATTCATTTGCCCTACGTCAAACCATTGTATGAACAAGCCATAATTTACATGGTTCTTGTGATGAATATCTAGGCTGTTTTCAGGTTTGTTTTGTTTTGCTATTTCAAACAATGCAGCCATGGATATTCCTGAACATTGGAGCTAGCACATGTGGGCGGCTGTGTTCTAGGGTATATGGTACAGGATGATAAAGATGCTGCTAGGGCCGAAACGGTTTGGCTCAATGGATAGAGCGTCGGCTTGGGGACTGAAGGGACCCGGGTTCGATTCCGGTCAAGGGCATGTACCTTGGTTGCGGGCATATCCCCAGTAGGGGGTGTGCAAGAGGCAGCTGATCAATGATTCTCTCTCATCGATGTTTCTAGCTCTCTATCTCTCTCCCTTCCTCTCTGTACAAAATCAATAAAATATATTAAAAAAAAAAAAGATGCTGCTAGGGAGTGTAGAGGCTGTCTTTGGCTTTACCTCACATCGCCCAATGGTTTTATTTTATATCGCCGTTAGCACGGTATAAGCTCTGTGACTCCCTCCTCACCCTCACCATTGAGGCTGTCAGGCTTCTGAGTTTTTTCTAAATTAATGGGTGAGAAATAGCATCTCACTCTGATTTTAGTATGCATTTTCTGAGTCCTAAAGAGGTTGATTAGTTTTATAAATGTTCCATCTGTTAAATATTTGTTCATGTCCTTTGCCCTTTTTTTTTTTTTAGATTGTATTTTTTTTTAATACTTTTTTTGAGTTTTAAAATATATATTTTGGCTATCGGATTTATCTTTTTTAGTTACTGGTATTGCAAATATCTCTTCCCAGTTCATGTCTTGTGACCTTCTATCCTTTGGGTCTTTTTTGATGAATAGAAGTGTGAAGAAGCTGTACTGAAGAATTAAAAAGCAGAATAGTTGACCCAATTTATTAGTAATACCCCTGAGCCCTAAATCCCATAGCTGCCTTCGTCTCAGATCCGTTTTATGCTTTTCCTTCATAAATCTTTATAAATGACTCTCATTTATCTTCTCCAGTCACGGTTTTGGGGTGTAGGGGAGGAGAGGAGAACCACTTTAAGGATCCAATAACAAGTTTTACAAGCATGTTTTGACATTTTTCTTACATTGTTTTTTAGGCTGGACCAGAATATGGTCAAGGAATGAACCCCATTAGCCGCCTGGCTCAAATTCAACAGGCCAAGAAGGAAAAGGAGCCAGACTATGTTTTGCTTTCAGAGAGAGGAATGCCGAGACGTCGGGAGTTTGTGATGCAGGTATTTCTAACTTTTATACGAGAAGAGTTTTTTTTTTAACAATTGGAAAAAATATAGAAAACCTCAGGTTGGAATAGAGATATGGGGAAAGGCCGACTAGGAATTAATAGCACTATTAATTAATAGCACTATTCCCTCAACGTGGTTGAAACATTCAAGTGTCAATGATAGAACAGACAGAAGAGTGTTGTTGTTCTTGTTGTTTTTAAATGTATTTATTGATTTCAGAGAGGAAGGGAGAAGGAGAGAGAGAGAAACATCAGTGAGGAGAGAGAATCACCAATCAGCTGTCTCCCGCACGCCCTGTCCCTGGGGATCAAGCCTACAACCCAGACATGTGGCCTTGGCTGGAATCAAACCCGGGACCGCTCAGTCCGCAGGCTGATGCTCTATCCACTGAGCCAGGCTGGCCAGGACCAGACAGAAGAGTTTTGAGGGACTGAGTTCACCCAGGCTATTGGGCTCAGAGAGTATCAAACAGAAGGCTCGTCTCTGTCTTACTGTGTTACAATATGCAGCCAGAGTCTGTTCACTACTGGGACTAGGAGACAGACGGAATTAGAAACAAAATTGAGAAGGATGGATGGAGATGGAACAGGGCCAAGAGCATGAACTGTGGGTTTTCAGGAAAATTAGGAAAAGAGAGAGCTGGCCATCTCCCTAATCACGGTGAGGACTGAGGGACTCAGAATTGCTGGGAGTTTGACCTGCATGTTGTGCAGCCCAGACAACTGGAGCCTGGCTGCTCGTGGATTTTCAGACAGGCGGGGACTAGCACCACGCCCTCCTCCTTTCAGGTCTCACCTGCGCTTCTTCACTTGTCCACTCAAGCCCCAACGTTGGAGAAACCTTTAATTTTTTATTATGGAAGTTTCAAACCTGTCCAAGGGTGGATATATTTAATAGCACACGATGAATATTAGTGTGATGGCGTGCACACAGCCCACAAAGGGGTGCACCACCTAAGAGTGTCCACCTCAGGTAACTGGGAAGGCTGAGCCACTGGGCCCAATAGAACACCTAGCACACAAAGCCACTCTGTCAACTCAGGGACTTGTTGTAGTTAAACCTTGATTGTTGTTGATATCACTGGGAGGAATTGACCTCCAGGCCAATTGGCTGTGAGGATCAGCTGTGTCTACGATGGGAGAATGTCTGTGCTGGAGACACCTTTATGAGACAAGACTTGCTTCAGTGGGCTTTGGTGCTCACTGAGTGTGCCCCCTGAGTGTGTCCCTTATGGATCTGAGGAGTTGTAATTTGGATGGTCCCACTTTGACTCCTGGGTACACTGGCTCTTGGGTCTCCAAGGGGGTGCTAATTTAGCCTCTGCCTAAGGCCACCCAGCAGGAGCTATGGAGAGATCTGCAGATTCCTCTTCTTCCTTTGGGTTTTGGAGGTGCTCAGAAGAAGCAATGCAAGCTGCTGTGGGGCCTTGGGCCTTGTTTTTGTTCTGGGTCTCACTGACTCAGCTGCAGTTTGTTAGGTAAGTTTAGAATTCAATGTATCAGGCCATTCATATGCAAAAGCCTCTGTGCTCAGTTTGGATGGGGTGGAGTCTCAGAGTGGAGCAATCAGCAATGGCTTCCTGTCAGCCCTGCCCTAAGAGGCCTCTGGGATGCAGTATTCCATAGTAATGGCTGCAAGCACCTCTGAGAGAAAGCTGCCCTCGAGTTCCGCCTGCTGCCAGTCTGGTTTCTCTCTATATGAGTCTGGGTCCCCAGAGCCTCACCTGGAACTGGAGTTAAGAGCAGTCAGGAGCTTTTGTCTCCCTCCTGCTTGAAAAAGACAGCCACATACTAGTTGCCAGCCCTCTCTGTGCGTGCCTCGTTACCTCTGCCTTCCGCAGCTCCTGTGAGTCTCATTGTGCTTTTCTTTTTCCTTCTAGCTGTAGAATTTCCACTCAGCCAGCCTTCCTGTGGTCTGGATGATGTCCGTTTTGTCTTTTAGTTGTAGTTTTGAAATTGTTGTGCAAGGCAGTAGTCTAGGTGTTTACCTATGCTGCCATCTTGGTTTCTCCACAGTAAATGCTTTTTTAGAACTTAAAAATATTTTTATTGATTTCAGAGAGGCAAGGGGAGGGAGAGAAAGAAACATCAATGATAAGAGAGAATTATTGATTTGCTGCTTCCTGCATACCCTGGGGATTGAACTGCAACCCGGGCATGTGCCCTTGACCAGAATCGAACCCAGGACCTTTCAGTCCACATGCTGATGCTCTATCCACTGAATCAAACTAGTTAGAACCTATTTTAGAACTTTATTGTTAGATTTTTGAGGACCTGATTTACTTAAATTATTTTTTAAATAGTCTGCAGTCTTAATTTTCTTACATAGCAAAATTGAACTTCTTTGCAGAAAAAGTAACATTTTAATATAAAAATCTTATTTATAATAGTTATGAAAAATTTTCTAGCATTCTAGGAAGATGATTTATGAAGTTTATTATATATTTGATTGACTTTTATATAGAAGTGATTTTTTTTGAGTGACAGTTGTTGAGGAATTAAAATCCTTTAGCACAGCAGTCTTTTTTACTTTTATTCTTTTATTCATTGAATTTTTTACAGTTATCTTATTTAATATTAACAAATAACTTAGGGTAGCTGCTCACAAACTTTTGAACTGTGCCTCTAAAAAACTTGTGTGAGACAGGGGGTGGGTGAATGGGCAAATGATTCTGAAAGCATCTGTTCTAGAAGGAACTCTTGAAGGCATCAGAATAGGTTGGATGCAATGATGACAGACAGAGACCCAAGGTGAGTGCCAAGGAGGGAGCGGCACGTCCCAGGGCGGGGCCTGGGCCAGGGGGCAGGCCTGGGTAGATAAGTGAGGAGCGAGGATGAACCGCAGAAGAATTGAATCAGAGTGAGGGGACGTGTACACGGCATGTGAAGACAGGCGGAGCATGCTTGGCTGCTCATTGATCTTTTGCTTCCATTTACGTTGGCCAGTCTTTGGACACTCAAAGCAGTCGAGAAAGCTTACTATGTAGCTGGCCTATCTGGTAGCTAGCAAGCACTCCAATGTGAATTTTAGCCCTAGTTTATTAATTTATATAAAGAATACTAACTGGCCCTAACCAGTTTGGCTCAGTGGATAGAGCATCAGCCTGTAGACTAAAAGGTCCCAGGTTCAATTATGGTCAAGGTCATGTACCCTGTTTCCCCGAAAATAAGACAGTGTCTTATATTAAGTTTTGCTCCCAAAGATGCGCTAGGTCTTATTTTCAGGGGATGTCTTATTTTCCCATGAAGAAGAATACGGTACACATTTATTGTTAAATGAAAATAAAGGAAATTTATTACCTGTATACAGTACGGTAGTACGGTAATTGTCAACACAAACAGACAAACTGTGAATCCTACAGTATCAAGAATTTACTCATTTATTCAGTGACAATCATGTCATCATCTTCTGGAACATCATCATAACAACCAATTCCTGAATTTCCTGGTGAATTTCTTGTGACTCCGTTTCTTTCAGAATCAGTGGACCAAATCTCTCATGTTTAGCCTAGGGGGGCCTTATTTTCTGGGGATGCCTTATATTTCACTCAGAAGGAAACCTGTAAGTAAGTCTTATTTTCGGAGGATTTCTTATTTTCGGGGAAACACGGTACCTTGGTTGTAGGCACATCTAAAGTAGGGATTGTGCAGGAAGCAGCTGATTGATGTTTCTCTCTCATCGATGTTTCTAATTCTCTATCCCTCTCCCTTCCTCTCTGTAAAAAAAAAAAAAAAATGTTTTTAAAAAAAGAATACTAACTGTACTGAGAGCCAACATATACTCTGTTACTATTTGAACCTTATTTTTTTTTTCATATATAAATAATACAGGTTTATTGTTTAAAAAAATAAAATAATTTTTATTATGTAAGGAAGTAAAAATCTTCTAAGATTCTGTTATCCTAAGATAACCTCCACTGACATTTTGAGAACCATATTTTTCTCTATGTTTATTTTTGCTTATCTATGTATCACACAAATGAGATCTTAACTTAGTTGTTTTTATTGTGGACTGAACTTGGTAGTTTTGAATGCTAGAGAGCAGAATACAGTGCTTTGTGGTGTTAACACGAGCCTGTTTATCAAAGCAACTCTTACTAATTTCTTAATCTTATCAGGTCAAGGTAGGCAATGAAGTTGCTACTGGGACAGGACCGAATAAAAAGATAGCCAAAAAGAATGCCGCGGAAGCAATGCTGCTACAGCTCGGTTATAAAGCATCCACTAGTCTTCAAGATCAACTTGACAAGGTGAGCACTAAACTCACATGTACAGTCCTATTCTGTCAGAATATCAGAGTGATGAGCAAATTCCGTACAGCGTTCCTTGACTCTAAGTAATGTCTTAAGTGGCGTTAAAGTAGACATCCAGTTTTAACTTTCCTCAGGCAGCGTACTCTCTAACTTAAAAGATAGTTTCCCAGTTACAACATCACATCTGTTTATGGTGCAAATACGAAATATTGATTCTAATCTCACAGTTAGCAAGTATTGAAAATCTGTTGTGTGGCTCTGTGTATTTTGTATAATACCAACTGAGTCATTTTTAGCTTATTGACTCATGGGTTTTGCCATGTAGACAGTTTTAATTTGTGCCCCGTTTTTAAGAACCGAGGTGGTTGGCTTTTATTTCTGAAATGCAGCTGAAAACACTGGAAATAAAGATCCTGAGTTATCCCTTTAGGGCAGGAACTATATTGGACAGACACTCTATAAACTAGTTTTTCTATTTACTTTAAATGTAAAGGTAAACTCAGAGGGTGTTTGTTTTCTGCCAAGACTTGTGTTCATGGCCCCCTATTTCTCCTGCGCAGCGAATGACATCATTAACACCTGCCCCTGTTCAAGGGAGGTGGGGGACCCCGAATTCAGGACTTGGCAGATAACTTGGCAAGAACAGGCTTGATTTCATTTTATCTGTGCATGTGTAGAAATTATTATGGACACTCAATTTATATAAAAGTTCACAAAGCAGACTTAATAATTATTTCTATCAAAAACAGCATACTTTCCCTCACACCATTTTCTCGTATAAAGATTCTGTTTCAGAGATATTTCACTTTCTGCGGGAACACATGTTTGAAGACTGGAATAGAAACAAAATCATCTTACTAAAAAACATTTAGGATATACTTGTCTTTGTAAGGCTACTATGAATATGTAGGCAATTATTTTGAGCAATTAAAAAATTATTTGTCTGTGTGGTATCGCTAGAGATTTTAATTCTGTTTTTATAACCTGGGTAGTCAATGGTTTTTCTTCCTTTAAAAATATTTGTAACATGAAACTTAACATGTGTTCAAGTTTCTATAGTTCTTATGTTGTGTATATGTTGTTTTAACTTAACACATTTATATTTACTTAAACCTGGTGAGTGGTTTATAAAAATATGTCAAAATAAATCTCAGACATTTATTTGGAAGTTAAATAAAAACAAAACAGAACAAAAGCCAGCATTAATGTCATTAATTTAAGAAACATTTTTCGCATACCCACTTTAGTATTAGTCAGGTTCTCCAGAGACATAGAGCCAATAGGATATGTGCATGAATATACTTGTGTATATAGGTGTGTGCACACACACCTATGTACATATATGTAGATATGCATGATACATGGAGACCTGTTGTAAGGAATTGCCATGCCTTCTTGGAGGTTTGGCGAGCACAAGGTCTGATGGGGAGGCTGGTTCTGCTGGAGACTCGGAAGGTGTTGCAATTCCAATGCAGAGGCACCTGCTGGGGAGTTCCCTCCTGTTCCTGGGAGGTCGGCCTCTCTTCCGATGAGGTCCACCCTCAGGATGAGGGCAATCTGCTTCACCCAGAGTTCAGTTATTTTAAATGTCAGTCTCTCCGGAACACCCGCTCAGAAGCACCACAATAATGTTGGACCAAAAACCTGGGTCCCATAGCCCAGACAAGCTGACACATAAAATTAACCATCACACCCACTAAATGCCATTTACTTCCAACTGAAGACACGATATCTAAGACAATCCTGTAAGCCTTAGCCAGTGTGACTCAGTGGTTGAGCATCACCTAGGAATCAGAAGGTCACGGTTCAAGGCCCAGTCAGGGCACATGCCCGGGTTTGGGGCTCCATCCCCAGTAGGGGGTGTGCAGAAGGTAGCCGATCAATGATTCTCTCTCATCGTTGATGTTTCTGTTTCTCTCTCTTTTCCTCTCTGAAATGAAAATAAAAAAGACAACCCTATAAATAAAGGAGTGAATATATTTGGGCAGGCTGAGTAGCAGAATTGCTAGATTAGAGGTATGGGGGTCTGGACAAGGCAATGGTGGTAGAGAGGAGGGAAAAGGCAACAGGTTTTTGTTTTTTTTTAAAATATGCATTTCATTGATTTTTTTACAGAGAGGAAGGAAGAGGGATAGAGAGTTAGAAACTTCGATGAGAGAAACATTCAACAGTTGCCTCCTGTACAGCCCCCACTAGGCATGTGCCTGCACCCAAGGTACATGTCCCAGGAATCGAACCCGGGACCCTTCAGTCTGCAGGCTCTATCCATTGAGCCAAATCGGTTAGGGTGGCACCAGAGGTATTTCTGAAGTGTCTGAAGTAACATGCCTGGGGGACATGGAAGAGGGAGGAGTAGAGAATGACTAGGAAAGAGCTGGCACCATTATCCAGACATTCCCTTTGCCTTCCTCCCTTGCTGCCTGTTTTCTGGGCGGTTTTCTTTGGTTTTATTTACTTCCCTGTTCAGACGGAGCACATACTCTCAGCAGCCCTCCCTCCCTTCTTCCCTCCCTTCATCTCTATTTCTCTTTCTCTCTCCTTTCCTCCCTCTCCCTCCTTCCTTCCCTTCCTCCTTCTCCCCTCCCCCCCCCTTCCTTTTTCCTATTTCTATAACGTTTGTTCTATTTTCTAGGAGATTTCATCGATTTTGTCTTCTGTTCTCCTTTGACATTTTTTACTTTGGCTCTTATATTTTTGATGTCCCAGAGCTCTTCCTCATTTCTACAATATTTCTTTTTATAGCCTCCTCTTCTTGTTTAATGGGTATAATAACTTCATGTCTCTGAGGATTTTTTAAACCTTTTTTTTTTTTTTTTTTTTTTTTTTTAAGTTTTAGTCTCTTCTCTGTGCTGTTTTTGCCATTCCTTTTGGGTTAGAAGCCTGGCTGCTGTCTTCTGAGGTCCAGATGAGGAAGGAAGCCGGTGATCTTATTTTCGGGGATGTAACCTCAGCCTCCACCCCTTTATCTGCCCTGTTGGGGTATTCTTTTCACTCTCATCCGTGCCTCTGTTGTAGCCTAAGAGAAACCTCGTAGGAATCCGCTTGGGTTAGTGAGGTGACCTGGAGATTTCATAGCGCCTTGAAAGACTTCCAACAATTCTCCTGTTTTCAAGCCAGTTGGGTGTCGTCCCCGTGCACCGAAAGGCCCCAGGTTGGATCCCCGTACGGGGGATGCGAGAGGCAGCCGATTGAAGTTCAGCGCTCACATTGATGCTTCTCTTTCTCCCTCTCCCTTCCTCTCTCTCTGAAAATAAATTAAAAATATATTTTTTAAAAAGGTAGCAGGTGTGCTCCTAATCCTAAAGGCTTTCTGGGGTCCCAAGTTACCCCAGTGTCCTTTCTGGGAGTCTCTGCTGGCTCCTCCCCCTGCAGGATTGCCGTCAGCCTCCTGACATCTGCTACCTGATCCCCTGCCTTCCGGTTCCAGGCTTGGAGCTATCTTTTTTCAGCCTCGGGGCAGGGTGTGGAGAGAAAAGGGAGAGAGAATGATAGGTTATTGGATTATTGATTTGGGGATGTTTGGAGAGAGAGATTCCTCCTATGTTCACTATGCTGTTTTTGTTTGGTTTGTTTTTTTGCTGTTAGAAGCTTTATTGTTTCCTTTGGTCCCATGCATGGAAGAGGGCTTCGGGTGGTTAAAAGAATGGCTAGGCCCTAGCCGCTATGGGTTTTGGGGAGAGGCTCAGGCAAAAGCCAGACACCATGGGATGCAGGGGGCCTTCAAAGGCCTCTGGGCTCCAAAGGCTCCGAGTCGTGCTTGAGCATCAGCCTTTTGAAGAGATCCTCGCCCAGCCCGGCCTGGGGCCGCAGCCTGCGGAGGGGAGCAGGTGTCGCCCCTCACCCGGAAGTGGCTCTGCGGGAAGACACAGAGCTGAGAGTCTGCTAGGGAGAGCCAGGCCTGCAGCTCCATGGGGCCTGAGCCAGGGCCCCCTCCAAGGCCATGGCGGCTCCCATGGCGCCCTGAGTGCTGCCCCTCCCCGTGGGGAGGCCTCGGCACATCCTGGAGAGAAGGCAGCCATCACACTGGTTTGCATCTTTAAATATATTTTTAATAATTTCAGAGAGGAAGGGAGAGAGAGCCAGAAACATCAGTGATGAGAGAAAACCATTGATTGGCTGCTTCCTGCACACCCTCTACTCAGAATTGAGGCCGTAACCCGGGCATGTGCCTTCCTTGACTGGAATAGAGCCTGGGATCCTTCAGCCCGCAGGCCGATGCTCTATCCACTGAGCAAAACCAGCCAGAGCAGTTTTGCATCTTTAAGAGATGCTCAGCACTTGTGTGCTTCTTCTCTGCCAACTCACGGAAGAAGTGGCCCATGCCTTTGAGAGCCACACGAGGTGGAAATAGAAGCCAGATCGGTAGGTGTGGGCGGCCACGGGTGCAGGCTGGTGGGGCAGCAGGCGGCCGCCTCCACCTGAGCGGACTAATGCTGACGAGTTTGGGAGCTCGTGGTGGTTCATCAATAAGGAGTTAAGGTAGAAAGACACACGGTGGGGTGTTGGCTGGTCTTGGAAGGGGTTCTGAGGAGGTGCCTGGATAAGACGCAGGAGAGTGGTCGAGGCTGTAGGAAGGGGTGTCCCTGGGTGTGTTCCGTCCAAACACTGTTGAAGCAAGAGACAGATCGGGGACCGCTGAGGGCACTGTGGTCACTGTTGTGTTGGAGCCTAAACCTTACAAAAACGGTTTCATTGGAGTGCTGGCGTAGACATGAGAGAACAGTAGACTGGGAATTCAGTTGAAGGTGAAAAACTAGGCATAGGGAATATAACCTAATATTTAAATAACCTTTGTTATTCATTGAAGGAGAGGCATTGAGAGGCTGCCTGGCCCTGGCCCCGGAAATCAGTTGGTTGGCAGTTGTCGCCAATGGTGGTCCGAGGTCCACTGGTGGTCCATGAGGTCCAAAAGGTTGGCAGCCGCTGGGTTGGAGCGTTGTCTGTGCCCTAGAAGGTTGCTGGTTTGATTCCCAGTCAGGGGCACATACCTAGGTTGGTGGGCTCCGTCTCCAATCTGGGCACGTATGGGAGGCAACTGGTTGATGTGTCTCTCTCACATCGATGTTTTTTTCCTCTCTCTCTCTTCTTCTCTCCCTTTCTGAGATCAATTTTTAAAAAAATACATTTTATTGATTTTTCTCAGAGAGGATAGGAAAGAGGGATAAAGAGCTAGAAACATCAATGAGAGAGATATATCAACCAGCTGCCTCCTGCACACTCCCCACCAGGGATGTGCCCGCAACCAAAGTACATGCCCTTGACTGGAATCGAACCTGGGACCTTTCAGTCTGCAGACCGATGCTCTATCCACTGAGCCAAACCGGTTTCGGCCTGAGATCAAATTTCTAAAAAAGCACGAAAAGTTGCATGAAGTGCTGAATTTTATAACTAACTTTAACCAGGCCCTCAAATGTCTGAGAATCTACATTCTCCCAGTCAGCCGGTTCCTTCCTTCCTGAAGTGACTTATTCCCTACTGTGTACACGTTCCTCCAACTCACTGCTTCCCTCAGTCAGCTGCCCTCATTCTGCGCCTCGGCTCGCTCTTCACAGAGAACAGAGAGTGGGAATCTCCCGGCCCCCCACCAGCATACACCGCGTTTTCACTAACGTTTACTCCTCCTCCATCCCCTTACAGTGGCAAGCTATGTGCTAGGATTGTATTTTTATTTATATCTGGATTTAATGTAGTCATTTGATCTTTGACATCGGACAGCAAATATAAAATGCTGATTAGAATAGCAGCATTTTCTCTCCCGGAGTACCTGGTACCAACAACAACCGCTCCACAGACGAGAACATAATCTGTTCATGTCACTAATTAATTTGATTAAATACTACTTCAGACTCTCTGAGTTTACACCAAATATTTGTCACACCGTCTGGTGACAGTCAGGATATTACAAGTTTTATTCCAAGATAGGGCTTAGTTTTCAATTTCTTGTGTGTATGTCATTGGCAGTATTTTGATGATCCTTGTTCATCAAAATAGGACTGTTCCAGGACAGACATAGTAATATTTCTATTGTGGTTTGACCTCAGGAGAGATAAAGAGGCTCCTTTAGTCTCTTTAGCACTTGTCATGATGATTATTGTTTATTATTTGTTAAGGATTGATTTACTTTTTAGCCACCTGGCTAGAGCTGCTGTTGTATAATATATATAATACACTCAACATGGGCTCTCGTGATGACTTAAATTGTACGTGTGGGTGAAGATAAAGGCAGAACCAGACATAGGAAACAAACTTGAACTTGAATGTAGAAAGGGGGTAGATAATGCTGCTCCAGTTAGTTCCTCTTGGGCCCACAGTCCCGGGGTCAGAGATGGAGAGAATCAGCAGAATGACCATGAGAGAGACCTTTGCCCATGCTTCATTGATTACTTCATGTTTTTTTTTCTTTTTGAATAAGTCCGTCTCTCTGGATTCTAACAATTGATTTAATCTTTCAGACAGGGGAAAACAAAGGATGGAGTGGCCCAAAGGCTAGTTTTCCCGAACCAACCAATAACAGTAAGTTTTCACTTTTATGTTAACTACACTGAGTGTTCATTGCTGGTTTGGTGACTCGTAGGTCACTGGCTATTTATTGGGTCTGTCTGGGCTCACGATGCCAGATTTAGTGTTGCAGGGGGGATACGAGGAAGTTGTGCTGTTTGCTTTTCTGGAATTGCTAGAAGACACAGGCGCTCATTTTTCACGTGGTTAAGCATTGCAGGAAGTGTACCATTTAACTCATATAGTGATGGCATTTTAAGTCATTTTATTGCAGGATAATTATAGTATGAAAGAATTTAAAAAAGAAAAGCAATTATCTACAAGCTCATTATACTCTAACATCAGCTGTTTTCACAGTTGTAATTCTTTTTAGGTAAACAAAAATTTTTACATAATTGTAACTTTTTATTCACTTTTATTAATTAAAATAGATTCAGTCTACACCAATGGCAAAATCCACTGTATCATCCATGTTCAAAATACAGATTACAAGCACTTAGAATAGCGGTCGCCAACCTTTCAGACCTCATGGACCACCGGTTGGTAACCAATGAGTTAGTGTGCTTCTGTTCTGATACAATGACCTGTGCTGTCCATGGTTTTCAAGACTGAGGATAATTATTTAGTAAAATCAGTGTACAATAATTTTACAACCTGTTAGGGAAGAGTTTGCTGTACTTTTTCTTAGATCTCTGTGGAGAGTTCTTTATTTCCACCACATCAAATAATATTTATAATTTCTGTGTTGCTATTGTGAAGATACATCAGAATTTTAATTTAAGAACAGTTGTGAACAATTAAAGAACAATTGTTAAGACTATTTAGTCATTAAAACTCAGAGTGTTTGTCTTACTTTAATGGGAAGTCACTTCGTGGTGACTTAAATTCTAAGTCAGCCGCACTCCGTTTAGATTTTCCTCATGCATTGTGGGAAAGTAGTCACGGATGATAGATTTTGTCTATAACATGAACGAAAGTTTGTACTGTGTTGTTTTGATTTAACATTGCAATAAGCATTTTTTCATGTGCTCGGTCATTAGAATTTTTAATATTCGAGTAAAGTCACTGATTGAACTATCAGAGATGTAAGAATACAATTGCTTATAATTGCCTTCTAATGATAGTATTATCATATGCTTAAAAATACACTTCATTTTATTTATGTGATCAGGCTATTATGCACTGCAAACAGACATTTATCTTTAGCTTCCTACCTCTCCTTAAAGAGCATCTATTTCCACTGAAGTGACCATTTTACTATAAATCAGTAAAACAATCACCGGTCAATGAAGACCCTCTTGAAGGGAAGGGCCAGTGGAGTCAAACCATCTAATTTCCATTCCTAGTGATGAGGTTATGAAGGATGATGTGTAAATTGTCATAGTTTATTCTTTGATGTTAGCAGCTCATCTCTTGATGTATAATGAAATTAATAACAAACTTTTATCAAAGCATGCTTATAAGAACTGAATTTTTGGGTCATCGAAACTAGCTTCTTGAAAAGAATATTTTAGTGATGTAATGGCATTCATGAGTTATTTTCTGGGAATACTTGAAATAATTTAATAGAACTCTGAGCCTTTGATCTATCTGTATAAGGATGATGGATGTGATAGCATGTACCCCAAAGAAAAAATGGAATGAGTTCAAGATTCTCAGAGAGTTTAATTCCTTTGATGTTTGAATATATAGGCTTATAATTGCTTGGTAAGGCAATGTAAGAAGCATTAAGTTGTTTTTACTTTTAAAAAATATATTTTTTAATTGATTTCAGAGAGGAAGGGAGAGGGAGAGAGAGACAGAAACATCAATGATGAGAGAGAATCATTGACTGGCTGCCTCCTACACCTCCCCTACTGGGGATTGAGCCCACAACCCAGGCATGTGCCCTTGACCAGAATCGAACCTGGGACCCATCAGTCCCCGGGCTGATGTTCTATCCAATGAGCAAAACTGGCTAGGGCTGTTTGTTATTTTTATCTCGCTAACAGATCTGGGAACTCCTTTGCAAGTAGGAGGAGAGGGCTCAAAGAGGCAGTGAGGTTCAGAGATCAGAAATGTGTAAGTGTGCATAAAAGATTTGCTTTCGATATAGCCTTAGATGTGATAAAGCTAGTCGAAGTCAGCTTACAGCTTAATCATACTGTACCCACTTGAGGACTTCCTCTGGACTACAGCGGTTCACACTGAGAATGTGAAAGGAGGACTATCCCTCACGCCTTCCCAACTGTGAGGGGTGGGAAAGCTGACCTCAGGGTCCTTCCCTGGGAGCACTGAGTGGTCCCCACCTCAGGCTGCAACTCAGGATGGATGCTCCCTTCCCCCCTTCCCCCTCAAGTCCTCTGGAGCCAGCTCACAGCTACTTAAAGATAACACTAGGAAAAGGTCGGTCTTTTCTTAGGAACTGATCACTCAAGTGATGCATCCATTACCTAAATTCAGTTTAAATTCATGTATGATGGTAACATTTAGGGTAAATTCTCTCCGAGTTTGACATTTTGCCTCAGTGGTTTCTGTGAAGAACACCTGTGCTCGTGTTTTGCAGCAGGTGGGAGCAGGAGCCTCTCAGGATGGCACTTGGGGGGTAGGGGATGGGGGGGAACGAGAGGGGGGGACAGGAACTTGAGATTGCCAGGGCCGGCTGCCTCGCTGACCCGGTGTCTGACCCTCAGTATCTCACTGTGTATCCTGTTATTCCCTGTGCTCCATTAAGAGTGTTGCATACCTGCTTAAATGTTGAGACTCTTTAATCTTTGTAAAATGATTCGCTTTCCTTGAACAACATCTGAAAAGGTAACGCGCTTCTTTATAAAACACAGAACGTCATCCTAAAGAGACTCTTCACTTTGTCTTTCCTTTGTGAAACTCTACCTTCCTTCCCAGATTATAGTTGATGAGATCAAATGTGTAGCCAGCCATTCTTTGGATAAATATGAAATGAATGTGGGACCATCGTGTACCAAAGTTAAAAAAAGAAAAAGAAAGGAGACAGAATTAGAAAGAGGAAAGAAGAGAGTTTTAACGTAGCGTAGCTAGTCCCTAACCCCAAGTAGACAAAGTTCATGTCCATGCGCATTTAATTGTTGAAGTGGGAGACAGTGTTATTTTTTGGTGGAAGATATTATTTTCAAGATTACAGTCCTAAGAAACTGCTAACAATTACAGCTAAAGAATAGCTGAGATGCTTTTGCAAGTGATTGTGATTACACAGCCCGGTTCCTGCCTTGATTGCCTGCAGATTGAAAGCATGGACCTAATTTTTGCCTGCTCTCCGCTTTCCGTACGGCCGGGGCTGCCGTCGGAGGTAGACGGTTCTCCGTGTGCTTTCCCCCTCGTGACTCACTGCCATGCTCTTGTTGAAGGGCAAGAGCACGGAGCTCTGTAATGTGAGGTTCGTGTTGAATTCAGCACGGGGCAATTTAGTGCTTGGCCCGCACATAAAAAGCTGAGGTTTTACAGTTGAACGACAAACAGCTTTTTAGAAAAGATGACGCGCTTTAAAGATCTACTGACGGCTCATGGAAAACTTTGTAAAATGCTTAGATAGAGTTCAGTTGATAATATCTTTTCTTTTTTTTTTGTCTTCACATTCCCTGTTTCTTATTAATTCTGAGTTTTACTTAAAAACAGGCTCATTGTTTCTCAAAGGTGAACTCTAGCTTAATTCAAAATTGGACTGAGCTCAAAGGTACTCAGTGGTATGTGCCGAATCCACCTACTAAAAGATTATTTGGAGGCACTTTTCACATAAATATTTTTCCGTTAACCTTTTAAAAAGTTTTATTTAGCCCCCATGAAATATGCTGACTCTTCTGGGTTCATTAGAGATGACCCAAGACAAATACTTACGGGATGGAGTAGAGTGCTTACTGGCCTTTTTAGAACTGTAGTTGACTTAACAGCACTTTTGTCACTTTTGTGTCATATCTGTATTTATTAAACTCTGTGCATCCTGACGCCAGCGTCTGCACTGTCTCAGTGACCTGACATGACATAGGTCATGAGCATGCTCCCCACATGCTGTGCACGCGGTATGTAGAGCCTGTACATATTTTATTCTTGTTGGGTAAGGATTGTGCTTTTAAGAGAATAGATTAATGGATAATTATTCATCAGCTTATTTAGAGAGATGGTGTTTTATGACAGTTTGTCAGGAAACATTAAACTTGTGTTGCCATTTTTAAAGAAAAAAATATAGGTAAACCTGGTGCATAAAGTATTTAACATACAGAAGTGATGAAGCATGGTAACAAAATAAGCACTAGAATATGACCAAACTTCCCAGTATCCTCCTCTTTGAAATCAATTGGCCCGCCATGCCTCCACCAGCAGAGGAAATCACCTTCTCTGGGTTTTATATGTAGTCACCCCACCTTTTATTACTTACAGTTTTATCAAAAAAGTTGGAGTCCTTAACAGTATTTGTATAGTTTAGTTTTGGTTATTTATTTATTTTATTATTATTATTATTATTATTATTTTAAAAATATATTTTATTGATTTTTTTACAGAGAGGAAGAGAGAGGGATAGAGAGTTAGAAACAGCGATGAGAGATTATCATCGATCAGCTGCCTCTTGCACACCCCATGCTGGGGATGTGCCCGCAACCAAGGTACATGCCCTTGACCGGAATCGAACCTAGGACCTTTCAGTCTGCACGCCGATGCTCTATCCACTGAGCCAAACCGGTTTTGGCTGTTTTTTATTTTTTTTATTTTTTAAACCTCAGGAAAATGGTAATATACTGTGTATTTTCTTGAACTTCTCCCCTGACTTTAACACTGTTAATTTATTTTTGTTACATGTATTTCATGCATAATGTGAATATCCTATAATTGATTTGTCTGTTCTCCTTTTGATCTGCATTTGGGATATTTTCAGGATTTTGTTATCACAAAGTAGTACTGTGAGCATTTTGAACATGCCTCCTGGTGTACCTGCCTGAGTTTCTAGGAGCACACCAGGAGTGGACTTTATGGGTGACAGAGTGTGTATACATTTAGATTTTTAAGAA